CAGTGTGAAAACAGAGCTAAAGTGACTTTGAACGTGGCATGGTTGTTGGTGCCAGACGGGCTGGTCTGAGTATTCCAAAAACTGCTGATCTACTGGGATTTCCACACACAACCATCTCTATGGTTCGTGTCAGAGGTCAGAGGAGAATGGGCAGACTGGTTCCAGATGATAGAAAGGCAACAGTAACTCATGTCCATATGTAGCAAAATCTCTGAGGAATGTTTTCAACACCTTGTTGAATCTCTGCCACGAAGAATGAAGGCAGTTCTGAAGGCAAAAGGGGGTCCAACCTGGTACTAGCAAGGTGGACCTAATAAAGTGGCCGATGAGTGTATATAAAACATAATATATAAAATTATATATCTATATCTATCTATCTATCATCTATCTATCTATATATACACACACACGCTGCTCAAAAGAAAATGAAAGGAACACATCAGATCTCAATGAGGACAAATCTCCCGCTGGATCTCTATACTGACATAGACGGGGCAATGTGTTAGGAACGTAAGGATGCCCCATTGTTTGATGGAAATGGAAATGAAAATGATCGACCTACAGAGGTCTGAATTCAAAGACACCCCAAAAATCAAAGTGAAATAATGATGCAGCAGGCGAGTCCATTTTGGTGAAATGTCATTGCAGCAACTCAGAATGGTCCTCAGTAGATTGTATGGGCCCCACGTGCACGTATGCATGCCTGACAACGTCAGGGGAGGCTCCTAATGAGACGACGGATGGTGTCCTGGAGGATTTCCTCCCAGATCTGGACCAGGGCATCACTGAGCTCCTGGACAGTCTGAGGTGCAACCTGGCGGCGTCGGATGGACCAAAACATGATATCTCAGAGGGGTTCTATTGGATTTACGTCAGGCGAGCGTGGGGGCCATTCATTGGTATCAATTCTTCCATCCTCCAGGAACTGCCTGCATACTCTCACCACATGAGGCCGGGCATTGTCATGTACCAGGAGGAACCCAGGACCCACTGCACCAGCATAGGGTCTGACAATGGGTCCAAGGATTTCATCCCCATACCTAATGGCAGTCAGGGTGCCATTGTCTAGCCTGTAGAGGTCTGTGTGTCCCTCCATGGATATGCCTCCCCAGACCGTCACTGACCCACCACCAAAACGGTCATGGTGAACCATGTTACAGGCAGCAGAACGTGCTCCACAGCTTCTCCAGACTCTTTCATGTCTGTCACATGTGCTCAGGGTGAACCTGCTCTCATCTGTGAAAAGCACAGGGTGCCAGTGGTGGACCTGCCAATTCTGGTGATCAATGGCAAGTGCCAATTGAGCTCTATGGTGCCGGGCAGTGAGCACAGGGCCCACTAGAGGACGTCGGTCCCTCAGGCCACCCTCATGAAGTCTGTTTCTGATTGTTTGGTCAGAAACATTCACACCAGTGGCCTACTGGAGTCATTTTGTAGGGCTCTGGCAGGGCTCATCCTGTTCCTCCTTGCACAAAGGAGCAGATACTGGTCCTGCTGATGGTTAAGGACCTTCTATGGCCCTGTCCAGCTCTCCTAGAGTAACTGCCTGTCTCCTGGAATCTCCTCCATGCTCTTGAGACTGTGCTGGGAGACACAGCAAACCTTCTGGCAATGGCAGATATTGATGTGCCATCCTGGGGGAGTTGGACTGCCTGTGCAACCTCTGTAGGGTCCAGGTATCGCCTCATACTACCAGTAGTGACACTGACCCTAGCCAAATGCAAAACTAGTGAAAAACAGTCAGAAAAGATGAGTGGGGAAAAAAAATGTCAGTGGCCTCCACCTGTAAGACCATTCCTGTTTTGGGGGTCATCTCATTGTTGCCCATTGAGTGCACCTGTTTTTAATTTCATTAACACCAAAGCAGCTGACATGATTAACAACCCCCTCTGCTACTTACCTGACCAGATCCATATCCCAGGAGTTTCACTGACTTGATGCTAGACTCTGATTACAAAGTCTTCCTTTAATTTTTTTGAGCACTATGTACAGTTAGGTCCATATGTATTTTGACACAGACATAATTTTAGTTTTTTTTCAGGTATTTACCAAAACATATTCAAGCTATAGTTCTATAATGGATATGGGCTGAAAGTGCGCACTCTCGGGTTTAATTTGAGGGTCTGTACATAAAAATTGGAGAAAGGGTTTAGGAATTACAGCTCTTAAGAGTAGCCATCCCCCCTTTTTCAAGGGACCAAAAGTAATTGGACAATTAAATATAGTCTTAAATAAAATCTTAATTTTTTGTATTTTTTGAGAATCCTTTACTGGCAATGACTGCCTGAAGTCTGGAACCCATGGACATGACCAAAGACTGGGTTTCCTCCTTTCTGATGCTTTGCCTGAAGTCTGGAACCCATGGACATGACCAAAGACTGGGTTTCCTCCTTTCTGATGCTTTGCCCTGAAGTCTGGAACCCATAGACATGACCAAAGACCGGGTTTCCTCCTCTCTGATGTTTTGCCTGAAGTCTGGAACCCATGGACATGACCAAAGACCGGGTTTCCTCCTTTCTGATGCTTTGCCTGAAGTCTGGAACCCATGGACATGACCAAAGACTGGGTTTCCTCCTTTCTGATGCTTTGCCTGAAGCCTGGAACCATGGACATGACCAAAGATTGTGTTTCCTCCTTTCTGATGCTTTGCCTGAAGTCTGGAACCCATAGACATGACCAAAGACCGGGTTTCCTCCTCTCTGATGTTTTGCCTGAAGTCTGGAACCCATGGACATGACCAAAGACCGGGTTTCCTCCTTTCTGATGCTTTGCCTGAAGTCTGGAACCCATAGACATGACCAAAGACCGGGTTTCCTCCTTTCTGATGCTTTGCCAGGCTTTAACTGCAGCTGTCTTCAGTTGTTCTTTCTTTGTGGGTCTTTCTGCCTTTAGTTTTGCCTTCAGCAAGTGAAATGCATGCTCAATTGGGTTGAGATCAGGTGATTGACTCGGCCATTGCAGAATATTCCACTTCTTTTCCTTCAAAAGTGTCTGGGTTGCTTATCTGTAAACACTGCAGAATTCATCCGGCTGCTTCTGTCACCTCATCAGTAAACACCAATGACCCAGTGCCACTGGAAGCCATGCATGCCCATGCCATCACATTGCCTCCGCCATGTTTTACATTGTGTGCTTTGGATCATGAGCAGTTCCAAGCCTTCGCCACACTTTTTTCTTCCCGTCATTCTGGTACAGATTCATCTTAGTTTCATCCGTCCAAAGAATGCTTTTCCAGAACTGGTCTGGTTTTTTTAGATTTTTTTTGGCAAAGTCTAATCTGGCTTTTCTATTCTTCAGGCTTATGAATGGTTTGCACCTTGTATTGTGTAAAACCGCCATTTGATCCTTTCATCGCTGATCCTCCCCTTCTTTCAGTGCCCCCTCTCATCTCCTGATAAGACATATTGCGCGGAGTCACTCTGCACATGCTCAGTTTAATGTGTTTTGCTAGAGATATTTTTTTTTGTGGGGGAGAGTACATGTGATGAACACAGGGCCAATCAGCACTGTCCAGACAGGTCAGGGGTTCTGCATCCTCCTAGAGAAAAATGAAAAGTCCTCCTACAAGCTTTAACCAGTGCTCTGCTGGACACTGATAGAAGTCACAAGACTGCTCTAACTGCTGATGAGCAAAGGTATTTAGCAGTTTATATTTACTAAAATAATTGCATTTCCATGTTCTGTGTACTGTGGGAGACCAGATATAGTGAATGCAGGGTCCGGGGAGAGCGTATATAGTGAATGCAGGGTCCGGGGAGACCAGATATAGTGAATGCAGGGTCCGGGAGAGCGGATATAGTGAATGCGGGGTCCGGGGAGAGCGGATATAGTGAATGCAGGGTCTGGGAGAGCGGATATAGTGAATTCAGGGCTTGGGAGAGCGGATATAGTGAATGCAGGGTCCGGGGAGACCAGATATAGTGAATGCAGGGTTCGGGGAGATCAGATATAGTGAATGCAGAGTCCGGGGAGAATGGATATAGTGAATGAAGGGTCCGGGTATATAGTGAATGCAGGGTCCGGGGAGAGCGGATATAGTGAATGAATGAATGGGGTCCGGGGAGACCATGATATAGTGAATGCAGGGTCCGGGGGGAGCCGGATATAGTGAATTCAGGGTCCAGAGGATACCAGATATAGTGAATGCAGGGTCCGGGGGACCAGATATAGTGAATGCAGGGTGCAGGTCCGGGGAGACCAGATATAGTGAATGCATGGTCCAGGGAGACCAGATATAGTGAATGCAGGGTCTGGGGAGAGCGATATAGTGAATGCAGGGTGCGGGGAGACCGGATATAGTGAATGCGGGGTCTGGGGGAGAATTCAGGATATAGTGAATGAATGCAGGGTGCGGGGAGACCGGATATAGTGAATGCAGAGTCTGGTGAGAGCGGATATAGTGAATGCGGGTCCGGGGAGATCAGATATAGTGAATGCAGGGTCCGGGGAGACCGGATATAGTGAATGCAGGGTCCGGGGAGACCGGATATAGTGAATGCAGGGTCCGGGAGACCAGATATAGTGAATGCTGGGTCTGGGGTTTAGGAACACTTTAAAGCCAATTTAACCTTTAAAAAACACCTTCATTTTTGCCTTCCAATTGACACCAATACAATATGGCAAAATTTGCAAAAAACTCCAGATATTCCCTAAACTTTTAAGGAAACAAAATCTGCCAATGTCCCCCATCTCTGATAGCCAGCCAGGCATCCAGAATCTCTGTTGTATAACACAGACACCACCTAAAATTACAGCTATTTGAGGCTTTCCGGCTATTTTCAGCACAACGTGAGGAAACCGCGGCACTGCCATATTTATGCAGGACTCCGCGCCAAAACAAATAATCGTAATAATGTAATAAAATAATGACTTAACACAAACACGTTTGCCCACTTTTCACGTGTGTATCGAACCGCTCCAGACGACTGACGTGTTAAATATTGAGCGTTTATTTTGCAGCCGCGTCTCCCGGGACAAAACGTTATTTATTTATCTTTTTTTTTTCCTTGAAATAGATGAACGAGCCTCGGAAGAATTTCACACGACTGATTTATTCTGGCACTTGGCGTTCCACAGCGTGCGAGGAGGAATCCACGTATCAATTAATTCCCAATTCAGGGATGCAGATTGTGACAGCCATCTGCCCGCACTTCACTTTCTTCTCTGGGTTCCGCGCGCTCGAAATTAAAGGTGACATAAAAAAAATGGGACAAAACCGGCAGGAAATAAACAAAATTAACCGAATTTAGAGGAGAGGAGAAAGTGTCGCTTTCGCAAATAGGATGCAATGAGCATCATTGACACGCATCTCCCAACTGTGCCTATAGTGATTTTCAGAGCTGTGTTTAAACTGAGCTGGAAAGTCCCACAACTTTCAATCAATCTCTACATTCTGAGTGTTTTATACCCAATCCTGGACCAATGTACTACGGGCGGGTGGCCCATGCTGGCATAAGGACGTACTGGTACGTCATTGGCTGCTTCCTTGTTTAGGACGCGCCCCCGCCCCCCTAGCCAACACCCGCTGTGATTGTACACATTGGGAGTCTGTCCAGAAGTCCCGGCCAATGATTCACGGCCAGGACCTGCTGATCAGCTGTGTCCAATTACAACCAAGAGCCCTGTGTTGAAAATCAACACAGGGCTCTGTACAGACGGAACAATCTCTCTGTTTCTCATCCCTGCAAAGCAGGGATGAGAAACAGAGATGTCTTGGTAAAAGCAGCACACATTTAACCCCTTGGTCGATCCTAGATGTACAGAGGGAACGATATCTCTGTTTCTCATCCCTCACGAATGGGTTAAAACCTTCCAAAGTGGATATACTTTCAATGAGGTGGGAGGAGTCAATAATGAGGAAGGGGGGTGTCAGGAATGGACTTGCCAGTAGTGGTGGGACTCACCTGCTTGTGGGCTGCAGGGCCAGGGCTGGCCAGCGGGTGCTCTCAGCAACCAGAGGCTCACTCCTGCAATGAGTCATCACCTGAGGCTGATTGCAGCAGGTGTATTTAAGGAATGGTCAGGCCTGTGATCAGGGCCTTGGTGTATGTTTCCCATGAGCCCCTGTACCTGCATCCTGTCTGCTTCCTGCCTGATCCTGATTCTGCTTTAATCCTGACTCTGTGTGAACTCTGCCTGTCCTGACCTCGGCTATTCCTGACTACGCTTCCGCCTGCTCCTTGTACCTTGCCTGCCCGTTTGCTACCGACCCGGCCTGCCCGACTACGTTTAGTATTGTTATCTGTTGGAGGTTTGGTTGCACTGTGTTTATGTTTAGTCTTGCACTGAGTTTCTGTATTGTTTAGTCTTTAATAAATTGTATTGTTTATACTATACCTGGAGCCTGTGTTTCCCTGTGTCAGTCCACACATTTCTGGTCATACCCGGATCCCTAACAGGGGGGAGGGTGTAGGGGTAAAACTTACTGGTGATTATACTACATTTTGGCCAGATGTATAGTAAGATGTAAGATTTCGGATGAAGGATCTTCTTTAGAATCCATTCACACCAGATGCATTAGCTCAGTGAATGCAAGTCAACAGAAGGAACTGTGAAAAATAATGGGAGCAGAGCACACTGGCGCTTTGGGATGATATGCACTGGTTTCGCTGGAAAAAAAATTAGTTTTAAAAGCCTTTGCAGGTTATCATTGTAGAGTTACATAGTTACATAGTTAGTCTGGCTGAAAGAAGACAAAAGTCCATCTAGGTCAACCATAGAAAAAAAAGTTATAATCCTACACCCACAGTTGATCCAGAGGACTGCAAAAAAAAAAAAAAACAGCAAAGTATGATCCAATTTGCTCCTGTTGGGAAAAAAATTCCTTCCTGATCCACGGAAAGGCAATTGGATATTCCATGGATCAACTTTCCCTATAAATATTAGTATCCAGTTATATTCTGTGTATCCAAGAAACAATCCAGGCCTTTTTTGAAGCAATCCATTGAGTTGGTCAGAACCAACTCTTGAGGGAGTCTATTCCACATTTTCACAGCTCTCACATGGATGTTGGCCTGAGAATTATTGCTCTCACACTGATATTTATGGTGATACCTCACATATCAGCCTAACATCATTAGTATGTAAACTAATGGTGGGGATAATTACGGACCATATCCAAGAATTTAGGAAAGAAAAGGATCTAGGGGTCCTAGCAGATGAAACACTCAGCTGTAGTATGCAATGCCAGTCTGCAGCAAGCAAGGCCAGTGGACTATTAGCACGCATTTACTCAAGAAATTAAACTATAGTTCTACCACTTTACAAGACTCCGGCCTGGCAACATCTGGAATATGCCGTCCATTTCTGGTCACCAGTCCTCAGGAGGGATGTACTGGAACTGGAGAGAGTCCAGAGAAAGGCAACAAAGCTAATAAGGGGGCTGGAGGACCTCAAGTATGGAGGGACTGCAAACATTAAGCATATTCACCATGGAAAAGAGACACTTAAGAGGAGATATGATCAGGGCCTTGTTTTTAGCTGGAACTTGATGGAACTGTGGAAGAAGGCTCCCACATTGTGCATAGCACACCTCTGAACTCTGCATATTGTATTTCGCACACCCCTGAACTCGGCATCATGTACATAGTGCACCCCTGATATCTACACTCTATGTCTAACCACCCCCAAACTCTTCACTCTGTATGTAATGCACTCCTGGTATTTAACCAGTTCCCAACCATGCTTTAGCCAAAAGACAGCTAAAGCATGGTCGGCTAGTTCTGGGAGGGTATCCATGGACGTCCTCCCAGAACCACACCCCAGTTCACCCCCTGGGGTGCGCACTGCATGTGATCTGTGATTGCTGTGTCCTTCAGACACAGCTGGTCACATGACCAAGGAAGGGGCCAATCACAGACACTTTTACCATGTGACCAGTGGTGTCCAATCACAGCTGATCACCGGGTACATAGGAAATGCTGGTTATTGGCAGTCCTCTCCCCATACTGAGAGCGCGTGAGGAGAGAAGAGCTGGTAAGCGGCATTTCGCAGTGGGACATCTACACTGATCGTCAGGGCACTGATCATTAGTGTTCTGGTGATCAGTGTAGCCCCATCAGTGCAGCCAATAGTGCCACCTATCAATGCCCATCAGTGCAACCTATCAATGCCCATCAGTGCCACCTAACAGCGCCCTCTCTTTCTTTCTGTCCCTCTTTCTCTCCCTTTCTTTCTCTCCCTCTTTCTTTCCCCCCCCCCCCCCCTCTCTCTCTCTCTCTCTCTCTCATTCCTTCTGTCTTTCTTTCTTTCTCTTTCTTTCGTTCTTTCTTCCCTTCCTTCTGTCTTTCCTCTTTTACTTTCTGTCTTTCCTCTCCTTTCTTTCTCTCTTTCTGTCTTTCCTCTCCTTACTCTTTCTTTCTCTCTCTCCCTCTCCCTCTCCCTCTCCCTCCCCCTCCCCCCTCTCTCTCCCCCCCTCCCCCTCTCTCTATCTCTCTCTCTCTCTCTCTCTCCCCCCCCCTCTCTCTCTCTCTCCTCTCCCCCCCCCTCTCTTTCTTTCTCTCTCTCCTTCTTTCTTTCTTTCTTTCTTTCTTTCTTTCTTTCTTTCTTTCTTTCTTTCTTTATTTCTTTCTTCTTTCTTTCTTTTTCTTTTCTTTCTTTACTTTCTTTCTTTCTTTTTATACATCTCTCTTTTTTTACATCTCTCTTTTTTTCTCTCTTTCTTTCTATACATCTCTTTTTCTCTCTTTCTCTCTGTCTCCTGTTTCTCTTTTTCCTTTCCCTCATTTTTTAAAATTTGTTTTCATTTAACTTTATGGCTATCACAAAGGGGATAACAGCCCCCTATGTGATGTCTTTGGACAAGTGGCAGGTACTCTTTATGGAGACATCAGGGGTCAATTAGACCCCTATTGTCTCCCCTACCCTCCAACTCAGCTAATGAAGCACAGATCTTGCTTGGTTAGCTACTTCCCTGGCTGCCATCACAGGATGTTTTTGTACGTTTGCCACTCAGCGAATGGTGAAAGCGACTATTGCAATGGTTTTATCTTATCTTTTAATTGGACGGGGTTTTTTGTTGTTATTTTTGGATGGAGTTCTGGAGTTTTACTCTGAAGTTGTTTTTAAGTGCAAAACTCCTCCGGCGATTCCAATATAGAGTTCTGTAGATATTATCAGTAGACTTCTCATGTAAGTTAATTTATGTTTTCCATTTAGCGGTCCTTCAGCAATTGCCGTTCGGGTTGTAAGCAAAATTTTTTTTTATATTCAAGTCCTGTTGCGCTAACAGAGGTGTCCGAGGGTGACAACGCCATTGTGTTCTGGTTGTGCCAAGGGCTTCAGATTCAGGATTGCAAAATAAAAAGACAACTGAACGTACGCAGAGAGCAAATAATTACCGCTAGTGGTGCTTTCATAATAGAAGGCAGTAAACAAATGAGGTGTAATTAACTAACAAACCAATGTCATGGGGAAAATTAATCAAACTAGCTCAAGGCTAACCGAGAGGAGAGATGAAAAAAATTCAGGGTAGATTCTGCGACAACTCTTTTTTTTTTTTTTTGCTGGAGGGAACGACAAAAATATACGGGCAGAAAACAATTGATCCTTTTTTTTTTTGTTACTTGTTAGCAAGCACAAGAAAAATATGAAAAAGTCATTTTATATTCATAATGTTGAGTTGAAAGTAAATGGGGAAGATGGAGAAAACTTTACAGAAAGTATTCCCAGCGCTTAACTTTTGCCACATTTTGTTGTTACAGCCTTATTCCAAAATGGATGAAATTAATTTTTTTCCTCAACATTCTACAAATAATACTCCATAATGACAATGAGAAAGAAGTTTGTTTTGAAATCTTTGCAATTTATTAAAAACCGAACCACCCCCCTCCCCCCCCGTGTACATAAGTATTCCCACCCTTTGCTCAATACTTTGTTGAAGCCCCTTTTGCACCAATTCCAGCCTCAAGTCGTTGTGAGTATGATGCTACAAGCTTGGCACACCTATTTTTGGGCAATTTCTCCCATTCTTCTTTGCAGGACCTCTCAAGCTCCATCAGGTTGGATGGGGAGCGTCGGTGCACAGCCATTTTCAGATCTCTCCAGAGATGTTCAATTGGGTTCAAGTCTGGGCTCTGGCTGGGCCACTCCAGGACATTCACAGAGTTGGCCCGTAGCCACTCGTTTGTTAGCTGTGGGCTGAGGGTCGTTGTCCTGTTGAAAGATGAACCGTCGCCCCAGTCTGAGGTCCAGAGCGCTCTGGGACAGGTTTTCATCAAGGATGTCCCTGTATATTGCTGCAATCATCTTTCCTTCAATCCTGACTAGTCTCCCAGTTCCTGCCGCTGAACAACATCCCCACAGCATGATGCTGTGTCAAAAACTCACTTGAAAAAAAAACGCGAAATGCAATGCAGAAATGGCTCAAACACAACCTGCATAGGTGTGAACCTAGCCTTAAAGTGTTCCTAAACCCTGGACCCTGCATTATTTCTTGATTTATTTCAGGTACTTATATATCGCCGTCAATGTACACAGCGCTTTACATATATATTGTACATTCACATCAGTCCCTAACCCTCAAGGGGTGTACAATCTAAGGTCCCTAACCCTCAAGGGGCGTACAATCTAAGGTCCCTAACCCTCAAGGGGTGTACAATCTAAGGTCCCTAACCCTCAAGGGGTGTACAATCTAAGGTCCCTAACTTACATTCATACATACACATACTAGGGACAATTTAGACAGGAGCCAATTCACCTACCAGCATGTCTTTGGAGTGTGGGAGGAAACCGGAGTACCCGGAGGAAACCCACGTAGACACAAGGAGAACATGCAAACTCCAACATTCATTATATCCTCTCTCCCCGGACCCTGCATTCACTATATCCGCTCTCCCTGGACCCTGCATTCACTATATCCGCTCTCCCCGGACCCTGCATTCACTATATCCGCTCTCCCTGGACCCCGCATTCACTATATCCGTTCTCCCCGGACCCCGCATTCACTATATTCGCTCTCCCCGGACCCCGCATTCACTATATCTGCTCTCCCCGGACCCCGCATTCACTATATCTGCTCTCCCTGGACCCTGCATTCACTATATCTGGTCTCCCCGGACCCTGCATTCACTATATCCGGTCTCCCCAGACCCCGCATTCACTATATCTGGTCTCCCCGGACCCTGCATTCACTATATCCGCTGTCCCCGGACCCCGCATTCACTATATCCGCTCTCCCCAGACCCCGCATTCACTATATCTGGTCTCCCCAGACCCTGCATTCACTATATCCGGTCTCCCCAGACCCTGCATTCTCTATATCCGCTGTCCCCGGACCCTGCATTCACTATATCTGGTCTCCCCGGACCCTGCATTCACTATATCTGGTCTCCCCGGACCCTGCATTCACTATATCCGCTCTCCCCGAACCCTGCATTCACTATATCTGGTCTCCCCGGACCCCGCATTCACAATATCCGGTCTCCCCGGACCCTGCATTCACTATATCTGGTCTCCCACAGTACACACAACATGGAAATGCAATTATTTTAGTAAATATAAACTGCTAAAAACCTTTTCTCATCAGCAGTATATAGGAGTCTTGTGACTTCTATCTGTGTCCAGCAGAGCACTGGTTAAAGCTTGTAGGAGGAGTTTTCTTTCAGCTCTAGGAAGATGCAGGACCCCTGACCTCTGTCTGGACAGTGCTGATTGGCTCTGTGCTGATCACATGCACTCTCCGAAGAAAAAAAAACACTCTCTAGCAATACACACCAAAACTGAGCTTGGTAAGGAGATAAGAGGGGGGGCACTGGAAGAAGGGGAGGATCAGAGAAGACAGGATCAAACAACGGTTTTACACAATGCAGAGGATTAACCCCTTAGGTTCCACAGTGAGTATAACAAGCATGCTTTACTGCATCTACAGACTGATTGTACTGTTGTGGGTTTAGTAACACTTTTAGTTCAAACCTGCTACATACATGCAAAAGAAGGTGTAGTAAGTCTTAGTCCCCATTTAAATCTATTTGTTTCAGAAACGTATGTGTTAACGCAATATGCATTCATTCCGTCCCACTTGTATTCATATTTCTGTGCTGTATTGAGCAGTATCAGTTTACAAAAATTCTATAGTATGCTGACATCTAGTTGCAGTTTTGGGCCATTACAGCTTGTTTACTTATGTGAATTGGCATACCCCTCTGACCTCCCCTTCTGTTTAGTGATAGCTGGACCCTCCCTGTTTCTTCCATAGTAGTGCTAGTTCTTTGCAGAGACAGGGCTTAGGGAAGTGATTGTCTCTAGAGATGAGCGAATCGAACATGACGAAGTGGAATTCGTTTCGAATATCAGGAAAAATTCGATTCGCGCCGAATCCGAAAATTAGCAAACTTCGGATGCACGAATCAAATTTTCCCAAAAATGGCGGCGACATGTGTGGCGACGGAGCGGGGATCTCTGGGAAGGCGCGCAGACAAGGCGCGCTGACCCATAATGCATTCATTCATGACATGTGATCGCATTAGCCAATCAGCAGCCAGCCAGCCAGCACTGTGTAACGGTGGAGCTATAAATTGCGGCCATCTTACAATTCTCCATTAGCCTCCGGTCATTCAAGAGAGACAGACCTGTCTGTATTAGGGACAGAGTTAGGGCCAGAGAGACTTTAGGGCCACAGAATCGTTACTTAGGGACACAGAATCGTTACTTAGGGACACAGAATCGTTACTCAGGGACACAGAATTGTTACTCAGGGACACAGAATTGTTACTCAGGGACAGACACAGAATTGTTACTCAGGGACACAGAATTTTTACTCAGGGACACAGAATTGTTACTGAGGGACACAGAATCGTTACTGAGGGACACAGAATTGTTACTCAGGGACACAGAATTGTTACTCAGGGACACAGAATTGTTACTGAGGGACACAGAATTGTTACTCAGGGACACAGAATTGTTACTCAGGGACAGACACAGAATTGTTACTCAGGGACACAGAATTGTTACTCAGGGACACAGAATTGTTACTCAGGGACACAGAATCGTTACTCAGGGACACAGAATTGTTACTCAGGGACACAGAATTGTTACTGAGGGACACAGAATCGTTACTGAGGGACACAGAATCGTTACTCAGGGACACAGAATTGTTACTCAGGGACACAGAATTGTTACTCAGGGACACAGAATTGTTACTGAGGGACACAGAATCGTTACTCAGGGACACAGAATCGTTACTCAGGGACACTGAATTGTTACTCAGCGACACAGAATTGTTACTGAGGGACACAGAATCGTTACTGAGGGACACAGAATCGTTACTCAGGGACACAGAATTGTTACTCAGGGACACAGAATTGTTACTCAGGGACACAGAATTGTTACTCAGGAACACAGAATGGTTACTCAGGGACACAGAATTGTTACTGAGGGACACAGAATTGTTACTGAGGGACACAGAATCGTTACTCAGGGACACAGAATCGTTACTCAGGGACACAGAATTGTTACTCAGCGACACAGAATTGTTACTGAGGGACACAGAATCGTTACTGAGGGACACAGAATCGTTACTCAGGGACACAGAATTGTTACTCAGGGACACAGAATTGTTACTCAGGGACACAGAATCGTTACTCAGGGACACAGAATCGTTACTCAGGGACACAGAATGGTTACTCAGGGACACAGAATCGTTACTCAGGGACACAGAATCGTTACTCAGGGACACAGAATCGTTACTGAGGGACACAGAATCGTTACTCAGGGACACAGAATCGTTACTCAGGGACACAGAATCGTTACTCAGGGACACAGAATCGTTACTGAGGGACACAGAATCGTTACTCAGGGACACAGAATCGTTACTCAGGGACACAGAATCGTTACTCAGGGACGCAGAATCGTTACTCAGGGACACAGAATTGTTACTGAGGGACACAGAATCGTTACTCAGGACACAGAATCGTTATTCAGGGACACAGAATTGTTACTGAGGGACACAGAATTGTTACTCAGGGACACAGAATCGTTACTCAGGGACACAGAATCGTTACTCAGGGAATTGTTACTGAGGGACACAGAATCGTTACTCAGGGACACAGAATCGTTACTCAGGGACACAGAATTGTTACTCAGCGACACAGAATTGTTACTGAGGGACACAGAATCGTTACTGAGGGACACAGAATCGTTACTCAGGGACACAGAATTGTTACTCAGGGACACAGAATTGTTACTCAGGGACACAGAATTGTTACTCAGGAACACAGAATGGTTACTCAGGGACACAGAATTGTTACTGAGGGACACAGAATTGTTACTGAGGGACACAGAATCGTTACTCAGGGACACAGAATCGTTACTCAGGGACACAGAATTGTTACTCAGCGACACAGAATTGTTACTGAGGGACACAGAATCGTTACTGAGGGACACAGAATCGTTACTCAGGGACACAGAATTGTTACTCGTTGTTACTCAGGGACACAGAATCGTTACTCAGGGACACAGAATCGTTACTCAGGGACACAGAATGGTTACTCAGGGACACAGAATCGTTACTCAGGGACACAGAATCGTTACTCAGGGACACAGAATCGTTACTGAGGGACACAGAATCGTTACTCAGGGACACAGAATCGTTACTCAGGGACACAGAATCGTTACTCAGGGACACAGAATCGTTACTGAGGGACACAGAATCGTTACTCAGGGACACAATCGTTACTCAGGGACACAGAATCGTTACTCAGGGACGCAGAATCGTTACTGAGGGACACAGAATTGTTACTGAGGGACACAGAATCGTTACTCAGGGACACAGAATCGTTATTCAGGGACACAGAATTGTTACTGAGGGACACAGAATTGTTACTGAGGGACACAGAATCGTTACTCAGGGACACAGAATCGTTACTCAGGGACACAGAATTGTTACTGAGGGACACAGAATCGTTACTGAGGGACACAGAATTGTTACTCAGGGACACAGAATTGTTACTCAGGGACACAGAATCGTTACTCAGGGACACAGAATTGTTACTCAGGGACAGACACATAATTGTTACTCAGGGACACAGAATTGTTACTCAGGGACACAGAATTGTTACTGAGGGACACAGAATCGTTACTGAGGGACACAGAATTGTTACTCAGGGACACAGAATTGTTACTCAGGGACAGACACAGAATTGTTACTCAGGGACAGACACAGAATTGTTACTCAGGGACACAGAATTGTTACTCAGGGACACAGAATTGTTACTGAGGGACACAGAATCGTTACTGAGGGACACAGAATTGTTACTCAGGGACACAGAATTGTTACTCAGGGACACAGAATTGTTACTCAGGGACAGACACAGAATTGTTACTCAGGGACACAGAATTGTTACTCAGGGACACAGAATTGTTACTCAGGGACACAGAATCGTTACTCAGGGACACAGAATCGTTACTCAGGGACACAGAATCATTGAATTAAAGAGTATGTCAGACAACACGCAGAGGAGTGGCAGAGGAGGCAATGTTTCAGGAGCGAGCAGACGTGGCAGCAGAGGAAGGGGTCGAGGCAGCACTAGTCGCAGCCAGAGGCCAGTGCTCCCGTGTCATCCAGCAGTCGTGTCTCCACCGACAACCCTGCCGTCATCGATTGGTTGGCTCGGTCGTCTTCCTCTTCCCAGGTCACCTCTGACACCTACAGCCAACGGTCGGTGGGTACGTCAGACACAACCGTTAGTTGGCATGGCCCGGGAGCAAGCCCACTGAAATCACGTGTCCTCTACCTGCCCCTGTCCTTTGGTGTTCCCTCACCAAGCGAAGTATCGCATGCTGTGGGCTCAGCCCCACTGTACAGTGAGGAAGAGCTAACAGAGGGCGGTCAGGAACGGGGGGAGACATCCGCCTCTTTAGCAGCCAGGCGAAGAAGTACTGGCGAGGAGAGTGGCTCGGTAGCCGGTCTAGAGACAGGTCTGTCTCTTGACCCACACGCAGCCGAGGGGGCTAGTAGTGAGGCGGAGACCCTAATTGATGATGATGAGGCTGATCGCACTTGGCAGCCTCGTCGTCATCTGCCAGGCCCGTAATCTGCCATGGGCCCCCATACCGACTCCTCATGCTGCTGCCAGGCCCGTAATCTGTCATGGGCCCCTGTACCGCCTCCTCATGCTGCTGCTAGGTCCAGAGTGTGTCATGGGTCCCTGTACGGCCTCCCATTGCTGCTGTCTCCATCGCCACACTCTGCCATGTGCCACTTTCAGGTCTCCTCACACTGCTGGTGGGTTCCATTTTGTCATAGGGTGCTGGCAGATTACGGGCCTCCCATTGCTGCTGCCAGGCCCGTAATCTGCCATGGGCCCCTGTACCGACTCCTCATGCTGCTGCCAGGCCCGT